TATTTATATTTATATTGCCTCCACCCCCGCGGGGACCCGCGGGGAAGCAGCTTGTATTTTAAATGGACGCATAGATCGCTTTGATCTTTCTGATATCTACAATCACGATCCACTCAAACTGAGGATAGTAACAACGATGATGAACAGTATGTCATCTTAGAAGCCCAAGGTGTTGGCTTTAATATTGTTCCATTTAATTATTGATACGAAGTTGATGAAGCTGAGAGTCTGTGTGTTAATAAAGAAATTGCTTCCTGGTTGACTGAACCTGTCCAGACCTGTGCTCCAATTGCACTTTCAGGATCACAGCCTGTTGGGTCGGCACCTCCACATGCTGCAGCTTCTACTGAATTTGCAGTTGTATGTCCACAAGGTCCTCAATCTGTTTCTGCAACAACCGCCGCTACTAAGATCACAAGAAGGTATTATTTTTCTTTTTCTTCTTTTTTTTTTTTCCAACAAAATGTTTTTGAGAATGCCTCTACTGACAAATATGGGCGCAAGATAATCGAGGGTCCTGAAGGCTCCAAGACTATAGAATGTGCTCTTAAGGTTATTTGTTTCTATCTGAAAAGACAGGCTGCTGGCGATACAAGTGCCCGAAACCTTACGCTAAACCCTCGCAAGGATATCACATTAGTGGATACCGTAAAAAAATATAAACTGGATTTAATCCATGATGAACCAGTCAGATTCCTGTATATGCGAGAGCACCTGTGCCTTATAGCACGTCACCAAATGCTCCTGAGGGACGAGGATATACGCAATTTGATTTTGTCTGATACATTTACAGTGCAATCAGATTGTCGCGGTGCCAAGGCAACTGGTCTTGTCTTCTGTTTTTCCCGTGGTAAAACCAACCAAACTGACAAGAATGTTTATGAACTTGCATATCGCCACAAAATTTTTCAAGTTGCACATTGGCTGCATTTGCATTCTATAGCTTGGAAGACTATTTTTATATTATTATATTATTATATTAAAAATGCTTCAATTGTTCCATTGTTCCCCTATATACTGCAAATACAAACATGCAGGTAGAGAAGAAGCCGATTCCAGATTTCTCTAACACAGAGAGCTGGTACAGCATCAAAGTTCTGAATTCAACAGTTTTTCTGAGGAAAACTTTAAAGAGAGAAATATAGCACTTAACTCAACAACTCAAATTGATAGTACAAGAGCAGTAATGCGTAGCTGCGACGTTTATTCCCCTAATGTAACCCATTCATGACGACATGCAGGGACATCAGAAGGTTTCTACCTTGGACTAAAAAATGATGATCTTCGTCAACTTGGCCTGCGGTCCATAGGTATTATGGAGTGCTCACATCTACCTCAGCTCCCGATCCACAGTGCTTTTATTATGACCCGGTTCAAGGAGAACGAAATTTGTCTTTTAGAGCGCGACCATATCAATCCACCAATGGAGCTACATCGCCTTATCTTCCTTGGATTGAGAATATATATGGCATTATTGGCATAGATAACCCTGATCAAAAAGTATGGGTTGATGATTGCAACCAAGATATGTTAGGTGTTGACCGAGATGCAGAAATGGAGGAGGATCGACACTGTGAACCCGACCCATGGCCAGGTACTGCCAAAAAGAAGCTTGTAGTAATATCCACAGTAATATCATAGTCGAGCGAAGGAGCTATCTTCAGGCGCTTGTTCGTATGCGTCGAGTGATTCTTCAAGATGCTGTCCTATACCTAATGCCTGACAAGAATGGCAGAACTTTGTCAAATAATATCATTGAATATTTACCTCATATATTCTGGAACAAGTTATTCCAAGATTTCCAACCAAACTCTTGGCTGCAATTGAAGTACACGACAACACGCCTAATCTAATCGATACCACTGTCAGAATGGACAAAGAAACATTCGCAGCCCTCGATAGTATTTCAGTTGACCTGCATCAGGGATGAAAGGGAACAAAGCAGGTGAATATGCAACTATGCAAGCATTATATTTTGGTAAGAGCGATTAACGAGAATTAAAGTTTTCTAATTAATTATTTTTCATAGATAGTACTTACGGTCAAACGCTTTTTATATAGTACAAAACTTTCAGGGATAGCGCTATTATCAATACTGATTCGAGGAATACCTTTAAAAAAGTTATCATCATTTAAAATGAATGGGATCGCAATGAGTGGGATCGCAGAAAATCTTTTTTTTTTTTTGTTTGGTTTGTTCATGATGTATTCTCTCTCTCAAGTGCTGCCACACATGCATGCATGGCTTAGGTGGAATACACCCCCCGACAGGATTCGAACCTGTGGCTAACAGGGATTAGGAATCCCCAGTTCTATCCTGCTGAGCTACGGAGACATTTTTCCTGCCCACCTCTACCTCCTGTCATCTACATCCTCAGCTCCTTCGGCACTTAACCCTTCATCAACCAGCTTTCAAGGAAGAGACTTGCTGGACAATCAACATAAGAAGCTGAGTTTCTTAAAAATATTTGGTATTTGCACTCGACTCGCATCTGATTTGGTATTTGCGAGTC